GTAGACGCGCTATGTAAACCACAGTAAATGTGCTGTTATTCTTATATTTGACAGTTAGATTATCCCCGGGGGTGTTGCATCACCGGATTAAAGAGTTGATTCGCAAAAAGAGCCAGCATCTATTGTGACCAAAACGACAAAATCCTCATCGGAAAACACAGCGTCACAGCTTACGGTAAAAACCTTTCAAACTGAAGGCAAAGCGAACATTCCCGAGGTGGTAACTGACCCTGGACCAGACAGGTAAACGGAGACAATGCGAAATCCGGATAGACTGCAGAAGGATCTGGAGTTCCTACCCTATGGAGCCAATGCTGACAAGGCGAATGAACCGAATATTCTTGAGGCCAACTCCAATGATGTTGACGTTGAAATAGGGACAACAGAGCCTCCGGTTCCGCCACCTCCATACACTACCAATGACGTGAATCATGAAGAGAATATGCCGGATTCCGCTGAAAATGTGGAAGAACCATCTCCGGAGGGACAAACACCAGGTGAACGTGATGATGGGGGTGATGACCTTGGTAAGTTTGTTTGGAACAGTTTGCCGGTTTAGAAACAACATTTTTCGTTATTCAGTTGGATGGTAAAAAGAAACTCATGAATTGTCTTATAGTATTTTCCGATTATCTATGGCTCCAGGTCTATCCGCAAAACCACATTTAAGTAGTTCTGCTGGCCAACTTGTCTGGGCAGTCTTTGGACGCTCTTGCTACATGCTGTCGCCGACCAGCGTTAAACCGAAAATTGCATGTTCTGTTGATCCATGAGGCCAGATGTTTTGGTGAACTTTGAACGAACCTACAGAGACCCGCTAGGCCTACTAATGTCAAGTTTTTAGCTGCCTAAGCTGTGACTATAGGAAGTTCTCGTGGAGTGGTTCCGTATGTAGACGTATCAGTTTGCTTTCCGATGACTCCTATCCGAAGGGTTTGCTAGCCCTGGTGGTTGGTTTTTCACTAAGGCTACAGTGGAATAAATTGTCCAGTTCTGGAGCTTGTGTTTTACGGTGGATCGGTGGAAAGTTGGTGACCGTCTGACGTTTTATGGAAGTGCAGTTAGACTGACGTTTGTTAGTAGGCAAGAGTATAACAACGGACTCTGAATGCAATAGCATTTTTGGTGGCTGCGGCCATGTTGGTTCTTCAATTTCGCTCGTAAGGACGTTGGTGTCCACTGGGGCCACCGCAGTCATAGATGGGTAAGATGGCTACCGCTCTCCGCGAACGGAAGGCTGAAAGCACTCTACTATCGTCTATCTGAAAAGCGTTGTTGACCCCATCACCTGACAGGACTCAAAGTTGTTCGAAGAGCACTGAAAATAATTCAAAAAATTCTTGGAAGAAGTTGGTTGTTGAGACTACCCAGCCTAGGACGCATCCCGACGAAGCGCAATATTGTTTAGGATATTGCTTGAAGCAGAAAGACACATGTCCTTCTAATTTTGCAGACGCGCCATATAAACAACTGTGAATTTGCTTTTATTCTTACATTTGACAGTTGGATTATCCATGTTCGTGGAGAGTAGAGAACCCGGTCACGAAGCCACTGCCTCATCTGCTTTGTCACGTGACCCTGGGCAGGACGCGCCTGCAACGGAAACGAAACCAATACAGACGCCGAACAACCAGCCCGACGACCTAGAATTCTTGCCCGACCGAGGTGAAGAATCGAATATTCCTGAGGCCAACACAAATGTGGTTGAAGTTGAAATAGGGGTAGCAGAGCCTCCGGTTCTGCAACCTGCAGGCACTGCAAATAACGGCAGCCATGAAGACAATATGCCGGATTTCGCTGCAAATGCGCATGAGATCGAAACATCTCCGGGTGAACAAACACCAAGTGAACCTGATGATGAGGAGGGTGACCTTGGTAAGTTTGTTTGGAACAGTTTGCTAGTTTAGAAACGACATTTATCGTTATTCACTTGGATGGTAAAAAGAAGCTCATAAGTTGTCTCTCTGTATTTTTTACTTCTCTATGGCTTCAGGTCTATCCGCAAAGCCACATTTTAAGTAGTTTTATTGGCCAACCTGCTTGAGCAGTCTTTGGACGCTTTTGCTACATGCTGTCGCCGATTTTCGTTGAAGTGGAAATTGCATGATGCGGTTTATTTTTATATGGTCGTAATTAATTTGGAAAAAAATGTTTGTTTAGTAAGTGTTAAGACCTTTGCCAAATGTAGAAAGCGCTGTCTTTTGTTCGTGTTTCACTAATGATCCTACGGTAAAACACTGACTACGTAAAAACGTCGCAAGTGACGTGCATCGTACGGTTAGAGTTGACTGAACTCTACCTATTTTTCGGACTAGACAGAAATGCGGAGCTCTCATAAGGGAGTACGCCTTGAACTAGGGCAGACAGGGGGGCTATGTTGAAAGAAAGTAAGGAAATCAACAGACCTTTCATGAGGGATACTTATGTATTTACGAAAGGTTACTGGATAGTGCGCCATTAATTCGCGAAATCTGCTTGAAAGATTACTGTTGTTGAGATTTATACTCAAACCTTGATCGTTTAAAGCTTATTTAAAAGAAGGCGAAGGCACGATCACTGGGACAGTAATTTTATTTGCCTGAGCTTTCGAACTCGAACTAGAGTTCATCATCAGAGGTTACTCGAGTGCAGCAAATTGTGAGCATTTATATCGTTCATCCTTGCGGGGGGGGGGAGGGGGAGTACGTCCGTGGCTAGGTAGGGTTTGTGCCGCCTGGTCCACGATGTTCCCCCGGCGTGGTGACGCCGTTTGCACTTCGCGACGGTGTGAGCTGCGCCACCTGGCTGCGTGGGCGGAGCGCGTGATAACACGCAGGCAAATCGATGTGTCTGTTGATGGAGTTGGTGTCCGACACCCACGCCTCCAACAGCTCTCGCCCTGTCTTGTTGCCGGCTCGCGCCAATATCCGCGTGTTGGCGAAGTCGAACTCATGCCCTTCCTCGAGCGTGTGAGTGGCTACTTGAGACAGTGGGTCGCCTCTCCGAACGGCCCGTTTGTGCTCAAGTATTCGTGAGCTCAGACGTCGTCCTGTCTGGCCTGTGTAGTGGCAAGGACAGTTTTGGCACGGGATTCGATAGACTACGCCGGACTGTTCACCTGCGTCCAGTCGGTCCTTCATTTTCATGATCCTGCTACGCATGGTGGCCGCCGGATGATGAGCGATGCCCACGCCTAGCTCTGACGCGAAGCGTTCTGTAGCCTCGGACACATTCTTTATGTACGTAGGGAGTGCCAAATTGTTGGTGTCTCTCTTCCGTTTGTCCGGCGTGGGTGCGCACGTATGCAGCGACGCCCCCACCCCCGCAAGGACGAATGATATAAATGTTCACAATTTGCTGCACTCGAGTAGTCTCTGATGATGAACTCTAGTTCGAGTTCGAAAGCTCAGGCAAATAAACCTACTGTCCCAGTGATCGTGCCTTCGCCATCTTTTAAACAAGAACCTGGGATGCGCATATTCTCTTCCATTTAAAGCTTATGTTTGATAAGTTTGCCATGTATTCATCATAATATATAATAATAGGCCCCTGCGACCAGGCTTGCAATACGGACACTGTAACAATTCGTGAAAGGGATAACACGCGTTATGTGGATTGTCCATCCATAAAAATGCGAGACATAGGGGTATGGTGACACTCCTAGTCTTTGGATTACGTCGCGCCAGCCACATTTGCCCAATCCGCGCAACGGATAGTTGAACAGCTTGGGCAGTGGAACTGATGCCTGTGGTATGGGAGCTGGGGGGGTGGGGGGTAGAGATTGAGGTTGACTCTGGGGACTGCGTCTCCACGACACCTAGCGCATATGCCTCTCTATATGCAGGCTGACGCGTTCTCTAACTCTGGTAACACGCGGAAATACTTGATTTGATAGGATAACGTGGTACTTCTCTCAGGACGGAGGGTGGGGCTGCGATGGCTCTTTCTTACTGTGGCCTCTGTTGGACAATCCCTCAAATGGGATCAGAATCGTCCATGTGTTTTTTTTTTAATAAAACCCGGTATACCTTGCTTGGGCCAGGGCGTGTGCGGCACGCGAAGGTGGAGAGTTCAGCACTGTCAGCCATCGCGCTTAGTTTTGCCTTTGGTACAGTAGATGTGCTAACTCATGAAATGTCAACCAAAATTTCGAAATGCGTTCTCGTTTTGAAAAGATAAATTAAGTAGTGTTGTAAAACTTATCATGACGCAGCATAAATCTATAATGATCCAGTTACCACAGGCTGTCGGCTTTCGAAAGTACTTATTTTCAGCTGCCTGCAAGATCTATACTCTGCAAAAATGACTGCATATGTAGTATGCAATTTTCTCATTGATTTTCAATGCCCTTGAAAACTGATTTATATTTCATGGAAATTATGCGTAAAAGTATTCATTTTTTACTTATTCGGTAGGAAATCACGTCTTCTTCCAACTTTATACCCAAAAGAAGAGTATAATTCGGTTTTAAAAAACTTTTCTAATTCCCGAATAATTTTGAACCCGACCTGCTCTTACACTTGCATTCAGGGTTTCAAAACTCCAAGCTGTATATTTTCCGTGTACGGAAAACCATGCATTTTCTATGGTGTTAAGAGAAGACCTTATGAGGTTCATAAAATTAAGCAGGGGATATGAGCAATATTGTTAACTTTACAAGCCACATTCGTAAATGCAGATGCATGACATTTCATGAACGGCCATTTAACAGTATTAAAAAATCTTACAATTATAAACTTTTTTAAAACCGAATTATACTCTTCTTTTGAGTATGAAGTTGGAAGAAGACGTGATTTTCTACCGAATAAGTAAAAAATGAATACTTTTATGCATAATTTCCATGAAATATAATTGAATTTTCAGGGGCATCAAAACTCAATGAGAAAATTGCATACCACTTAAGCAGTCATTTTTTGCAGAGTATAGATCTTTCATGCAGCCGAAAGTAAATTCCTTTGAAAGCCGACACCCTGAGGTAACTGGATCAGTATAGATTTATGCTGTATCATGATTAGTTTTGCAACACTACTTAATTTATCTTTTTGTAACGAGAACGCATTTCGAAATTTTGGTTGACATTTCATGAGTAAGCACATTT